AATCAGTCAATCCTAAAGGAAATCAACCCTGACTGCCCTTTAGAAGGTCATGTACTAAAGCTGAAGCTCAAATACTGTGGCCGCTTAATGAGAAGGAAGGACTTACTGGAAAAGACCCTGATGCTGGGAACAATTGAAGGCAAAAGGAAAAGGGGATGGCAGAGATTGAGGTGGCTGGATGGGGTCACTGGAGAGGTGGATGTGAGCTTGGGTGTACTCTGAGGGATTGTGGAGGACAGGAGAACCCAGAGCAATGCTGTCCATGGGGACACAAAGAGCCAGGCATGACTTTGCGACTGAACAACAACAAAAAGAGCAGTGATCCCCAAACTTTTCTGGGCTGCCACCCCCTTGGGTGACAACCCTATCACCCCCACACCTCTTTCTTTGTATTAGGTCTATTGCTCTACTGCACATTTAAAACAATCAATCACTGCTCCCCCTTGGATCTACCTCCCACAGAGGGCTGTATCACCCACTCTGGGAAAAGCTGGTCTAGGGTGTGACCAGTTACATGTGTTGGCTCATGAAATGTTGAGATGGTCTCATGGCCATGGAGACCATGAAATCCTGAGACAGCCAAGAAAGGTGCCCTGGCATGGATGTTAACATCTCCCCAAACAGCCTGGGAGATCTCAGCTTTGCACTCAAATCATCTTTTGTCAGCTCAGGTGGCGAAACTGCCAGGTAGCAGGATGGGGAAAATCATCAATCTGTTCTTCTGGCCCAACCCAAGATGCAATCATTCCAAATTAATAATTAGTTGGACAGGGAGCCTGGGGTGAGACAGAATTCAAATGGAGTGTTCCCCCTCCATGTCCCTCAAGTCTGTTTTGATGCTGAGTGGGCACAAACAGGACAAATTACATCCTGTTTGCCCATCCAGGTCTCAATTATGCATGTCAGATTGGACACCTTATCCGGTATTAAATCATGAATTTAATGATTTAATGAATCATGAAACCTTTGGTTTCAGAGTATTCTTCCTAGAAAGACCCATTATATACACATATTATTTTTATTCATTGACAACATTCTCTGATGCATGTAAAGGCCCAAGTGCTTACTCTCCCATGTTTGAAATTGCTATGCATTTCAAAATAATTTTAACTTGTTTAGCTTTGGCATTCCTTCAAATTCTCGTAAATGTTTAATTCTTGTTATATTTATCAGCTTATTACAGAGTGTATTATTATCATTGCTGTTTTCATTTTCATCTGTCTTGGACACTGTTAGATGAAAGGTGAATAAAATGCTATAATTAGTAAGTAACTTAGGAGTGATAGGAGGCAATTAAAAGAAAGAAGCTCATGATTTGAGAGATGAAGATATTGAAGTATTGGAAGAAACCTGACTGCTGTCTCTCCAAAAATATAAAAAGCTAGATGTTATTTAGACATGCCTCTTCCATTAATTAAAACTGGGGCTTCTGGGTAAATTACTTAATTTAAAGCCTGATAACAGAGTTGTGATTAACTCAAAACCTTGCCCATTACCTTTGTATGTTTCTCAAAATTCTCAATAGTAAGGGCATCCTTAACATACCACGGAAGAAATTCTGCTTCATGCTTGTTTTTAATTGGCAGAAATTCTAGCTTAGAAAATGTGTCTGCTTTCTTCATTCAGGCTTTAGGTGGACTCTGTATTACCTTGAGTTAGGTAAAATTAACTTTTGTGCAGTAAGTTTTAACGTAACAGAACCGAGAACTCTTTGTTATGCTAACTGAAACTTAAAAAACCCACAGAATGCTCTATGTTTTTAAATACTTTCATCCCAGTGATAAATAAAATTAAAACTGCAAAGTGAATAGCAATGTTAGGGAACCCAGTTCAACCAAAAATCAGACAATTGTGTATGAATCAGGATCTGAGAACTATTGTAGGACATAACAAAAATCCATAATATTATATTTACATAAAATAACATTTGTCCTTTAGCACCTACCCAGATCAAACAGCAAAACTTTTTGGCCTTAATTATGTGGTTCCTCTCTAGTTCTCTATGTAATATGTTCTTTATTCTGTTAAAATATAAACATTTAATTTACTCTATAACATTGGTTTAAAAAGTATACATATGTTATTCCTTACATATGGCTCTTTGGAAGTGGGTTTAATATGATGATTGCTTGATATTTGTGAACAAAGTAATCACTGCTTCCAAATCCATCTAGCCCAGGCAGGCTTGATACTCTGACCTTGTCTGCCCATATTTTAAAACTAACTTGTTATTCAATTATTGTAATGTGGCAGTTCCTTTTGACTTTTATCCTGTTGTAAGGTTATTATCACATAACCACCAAGTGAATATTTGAAATCCAAATGAAAACAGAATTATATGGAATAGGAATTGATAAGACCTGTTTTAATTTCTAGTGCTTGATTCGGTTTAGTTTAAACACCTCAATAGGAGCATTTGAGAAATAATGTTGCAGTATGGTCCACAAACAAAAGGTTCCTGGTTTTCATGGTAAACAAATCCATTCTGAATATCAGCATCTGATTTTTAATAATGATCTCCTGTGAAGTCCTAAAGTTCTTTCCCCCCGATATTTACTGTATATGCTAATACTATTTTTACAGATTTATGTAACTTCTTTTCCATGTGTCATTTCTTAACTAAGCTACATATATTTAGCTTGAAAAATGCTAACCATAAGTCCATCTAAATTCCTGCATATTGTTATTTTGAACGTTGTTGTTTTCTTTGAACTTTAAGTTCGTAGATGCTTCAAAGGGCTGTCTGCTGGAGGTGTTTGCAGTTTAGACAACAGAAGATGACTTTTTTCGGTGAAAGGAACATCAGGGAAACGTGGGAGTTAGAAACATATAGTAAGGGGAAGGCATTTTTGTCTCTCTGTTTCTACTTCATCTAGCTGTTCCTTCCTTGCTGGGGAGGTGGGGGTGGGAGATAGACACATGACTGTGAGGGGAAGCAAAGGGGAAACAAAAGCTCACTGCCATAAAGTAATTTATAGCAAATCCCAGAGAGAGGTAAAAGAAACCATCAGTACTCCTTAGGACTGGAGTAATTACACAGATATAGTCTCTATGCTGCAGTTATTTTTAAAGCAGTTTAAATATGCTTCCAATGAGCAAACAAGTTTGCACCCTTCTGGATCATGGCCTCTAAAATCTTCTCTGGTAACAGAATAATCTGTATGTGTGCTTGTGTTTACATAGTCAAAAATCAATCCTATTAGATGTGATGGACAGGTTTATTTTTGCCACTTATGCTACATCAAGTAGCATATGCTACATTAAGCTATGGGAACATGAAAAGAAACAAAGCAATTTTGGGGGAGAAAAAGGGCAGTCGTTCTTGGCGTGTTTTCCAAAGTCAGGCAGATTTGGATTGTCAGATGAGGAGAAGCTCTCAGAAGCAGCGTTTCTAGGCTTTGAGATGGAAAGGGCTTATCTCAAGGCCACCCTCTCCAGGAGTTCAGGCAGAATTGGAAGATAGCCAGCACCTACAATTGCTAGGAGGGGTTATGGAACAGGAGCTCCAGGAGCCAGTCAACCCTGGCACCACTTCTGATTCCATGATGCAGTGTTGGGAAAGAGGGACTAGCCAACTAGAATGGCTTACAGAGAAGAGACTTACTCACCTCCAAAAGGGCCATCCCAGAGGGAGAGGGCCCAGGGATACTCTAACGGAGAATTCTTATAAGTAGTTGTTAGATTGGGTTCAACAAATCACTCTGCATGCTCAGAGACTCATTCTGTGATTACTGGAAGTACTTTGGAGAATAAAGAGTTTTGGCAAAGGAATAGTCTGTTGCCTTGAAAGTGTGGAAAGGGGAACCTAGCTCCCAACAGCAGTGTTCTAGGTATGGATCCATCAGACAGAAACGTTTCTGGTCAGGAGTGCTTATAGAAATAACACCTTATGTTACTTTATAATAAGTTATTATTCTATGTTTGTTCTATTATGTGATGCTATTCTTCATACTACTATCACTCATTGTCACACATTTCTTCTAACTGAAGCTATTATTTATTTCTCAGAATAATCTACTTCTTTTCCTCTTTATCTTCAGGCACTTCTGGTTTAATGCAACCATCTTTGCTATAAAAAGCTTGTCTTGCTATGTGATTGTATCATTCAGGTAAAGGTTGCAAGCCATCAGGTAGTTCTCCTGGGCAAGTTCTTTTGTAAGACCTTGTGAAGGAGATTTTCCTAGTGAATTGTGGTCAGTGTTCCCACAGCTGAATATAAATATAAAACAAACAGTGTTTCACTTTAAGCAGCCTAGACTAATTATGAAATGAATGAACTAAAGAAAGAGAGACATTGTTTGGCTTTGAGACAGTGCTATGCAGTTTTGAAAGTGATTTTATTGTCAGTGTTTGCCTGCTCTACAAAGTACAGGATTTCTGAACAGCACATCCCTAAATTAAGTTTCTGGGCATTCATTCAAGTTTTTGATTCTATCCATTCCACTAAAGATGGGAAATGCTGCCTTGCAAGTTATTTATTGCAAATATTCCCATAGCATACTTACTCTAAAAACTAACTTCCAAAAGAGGCCCCATGTTTGCAAAGTATTCAAGATATCGCCATATGATACGTCTTGTATTTAGAATTGCAAGAACAGTGTCCTTTTCTGCTAATGTTTCCAAAGTTTCCATAGCCCTTTCCTCCCATGTAACTGCCATCTAGAGCTACAGATAGCAAACTGACCCAACCTCACTCTAATGACACAGATTAGACAAGAGAAGAAAATGTTGGAGAAAATCTTTTAGATGATGACTTCTGCCAAGGATCTAATGAAGCCAAGGAAATTCATGTCCTGAGGATGCCACAGGTAGCATTTTTATATCTTCCAGACAAAATCACATCACAAAGGTGCCAATTTCAGCAGGAGCAACACAGAGATGCCAGCAGCAGCATGGTATAAGGAACGTATTTCCAGCCAAAACACACTGTTAACCATACATTTTTTTTAAAAAAGCATGAGACATGGTAGCTCTGAAGGAAAGCTGGTTATAGAAGTTACCTCTGCTGCTTTATTGGATGGTCCCAATCCAACCATATTAACTTGTATTAATTCCTGTAAGAGCTGTACTTGGGCCACACTGAGGAAGAAGTCCAGGCTTGTTGTCATATTCACTTCCAAAGAATGGCCACATACTAAAATTTCCTGTGCAAAACAAGATTGTAAAACTCAGTCAATGGATACCAGCTGTTTTTAGGTAATTATGTAATTTTCTTTTTTTAACTAAACACAATATAGACTATTTATACTCTCTAAATTGGGTCTATTAACATTTCCTTATCTCTTCAGGCAGAAAAGTACTGTGCACCATCTGTAAAAGGAAATCAGGTGGAGGAGTGGTGGGATAGCATACCACTATGCTTCCAACAGGATATTTGATGATTAAGATACATTTTGTTTGTTTCATGTGTTTCATGTGTGAGGTCCTGTTTCTTTGTTGCATCAAATTCTGGGCTGTCAAGAGTCCTTATTCATTTTCTTGGCAGAGGATGCAGCTTTCCTTTTTGGGTTTTCACAGACAGATATACATTTTGGAATACAAACTCATCTTGGTTCCTAATGAAATTGTATACTGCAACTCACAGATAACTGATTTAATTGATTTGTAGCTGCCTGTAAACCACTGTTGACGTCTTGGCAGTATTACAATTAAATGATCACAATTTTATGGTTGCTATTACACATACGCAGCAAAAGTTTCTGACTGTTTTTGGCAAGTTATTTCCAAGATGGAAAGCAGAAAATAAGCAGGTTTGCTTACTAAGCAGAGCTCATACCACTTGTCATGAAGAACATGTGCATAAATGTTCAAGTTCTTGGTAATCTATAGAAGACCTCTCCCTTCCTCATTGAATGTCAGCAGGGGAATAGACTCAAGAAGAATTAGAATAGCCAAAACATTTACATTCTTGAACAAGAGCAGCAGTAAAATTCATCTGTTACTTTTTACTGAATGCCTTTTCTACAGCTCAGCAATTCCCTGACTATCTGATATTTTCCTTTAAGTGTTCATTCTGGTACATTTGCAAACACTGAGGCTGCAACACATCAATATGTGACCTTCTTTGTACATATAGTCCCTCCTCATTAATCCCCAGCATTTTAGGTACCAAGGCTAGGAGGCATCTTCCAGATGGGCTAAGAACACAAAGGAAGCTGTGCAAAAACTGAAGAAACTTTTCTGCAATGGAGGGGAACATGCAGCTTGATGCTGAAATAAGAAGTGGAACTTGCAAACAATTTAAATAGATTCCACTATGGTCTAGAGCCATGTCCTTTCAGATGGCTTCTTGGTGGTTGAGGGGCTGGTTTGGATTGGCCCAACCCAAAAATTATTAGCTGCTGCGCACAATTTTGGAGTATGGAAAAGGCTCTGCAGGCAGGTGTTTGGAAAATTCCCCTTCCCTGATTTAAACATGAAGTTGGAGGTGTAAGGAAAACCTACCATTGAGGCATTCCCCTACCCAGGAGGCATTCCACAGAGCTACCATCTCATTTAAACTAGGCTAGATATCTAATGTGTGTATTATTTACATGGCCTGTATCCAGGCAAGTGGTATACTTGTTTGTTAATGGCTTTCACATAGCAGCTGACAGTTCAGTTTAAGTGAGAGTCTGGTATGGAATACTGCATGCATGATTTTAATATACATGTCTAGTGTCTTCTAATTGGGCCCCATGTTCTAGGTTTGCCATACTGGTTAAATTCATATTCTGTGGGCCCCCTTTCTGACACAGAATCTGCATTAGCTTATCTGCCAATCTGAAACACAATGATGGGCACAAAAGCAATGTCCACACATTAGTTTAAGCCAAGAAACCTATTTTAAATAACTAAATTAACTGTGTACTACTACCCATTTGGTCCAACTTCATTGCAACTTCATTTACTTACTTTGTACAAGTAAGTGAACAAACCAAGCATAAACTTGATACGGACGTGACTACATCTGAACCTAGAATTACAGTTTATTGTGCAACAAGCCAACAAGAAGTCCTAGTTTAAAGCCAGCTTATGAATCCTGGCTTTTTGGAGGCTCAATAAAACATAATCTTGAGTTTATCCATTTGTACATGGAGGAGAAAAAAACGAGGTGCATATACCAGCTCACAGGTGGTGTCTATTGTGGTTTAATATATCATCAAACCCAGTCAAAGGCAGACACATCATAACCCCTGTGTACTTCAGGCTGCCCCAGTTACACCATATACTACAATTGCTACTTAAATCATGGAGCTCACTGGGCCAGTTATTATCAGTCAGTCTAACTTAGCTCAAAGAATGAGAATTAAATGGGGTGAGGAAACCATGTACATTTCATTTAAATACAAGCACAGTTACATGTACCCACTCATATTATAATACATGCAATTATACTATGTCTGGGATATATACAGAAGAGGTTTCGAAGGGAGAAAAACTGGTAGCAAATACTGAACAACAGTCAAGCAGACTTCCACACACAGAATAAGACTTCTCCTCTTTCTGCATCCTGCATCCCCTTGGGCTCCTCCAATCAGCTCTGGAAGGCCCCCAGTCTTTTGCAGAAGGTTTGCAGGGTACATTCAGGGACTGCAGGAAGAAGAGGAAATCTGTTCCATTAGCACCTGGACAGAACTGGATATACCCGTTATTTTAACACAGCTTAGTGCAGCATTCTAATTTTTTTTTAAATGTAATCTAAAATTAAGTAACAGTATGAACATTTGATGAGTAAAACTCCCTAAAATCAAATACTAACCTCTGTATGCAAATTCTCTGGTGAAATTACTTTTGTGAAAATTATAGCAGGAGCTGCAGTTATTCGTACTGTGAAGTCTGTTAATATTGGAGTTAATATAGCTCTTCTTTCTTGATGTCGCTTTATGCTAGAAGAAATAGAAGTTTAACTTGGATTATAAATTATTGAGATAATGATTATTATCATTAAATTATTCTCTATTGGTAGAAGTTGTAACATTAATTTCCTAATCTAGTGAAAATACTAAAATGTGTATCTGTAAGATGTCAGAAAATGGTTGCCTTCCCCTGCCCAAAGGAAAAAATATAATGGGTTCCTCTGTTTCCCTCTCCCAGGATTTGTACTTCCAGGGGCCATTTATCATCCAGTTTCCTCTTCCCTAGGCAGTTAACTGCTCAAGTGCATAGATAAAGAGAGGCTGTGCTCTTTTGCAGGTGCTCCAGTACAGCTTCCATTGAGCCCCAGGAAGAGGACGCTATGTAAGAGGTGGCACTTCGCTTTGAAGCACAGTGGCTTCCCTGTTTACGTATAGAACATGAAGTGAAAGCAGGATAGGTAGACGGGTCTGGCAGGTGCTGAAAGAGATGTCTCTATGTACCACCTTGGAGTTCCCCAAAGGAATTCCTAAGAAGAGCACTGCAAGATCAAAACAAAATGCTTCCAATAGCCCAAGTACCTGGTTTCCTGATTGAGGTCTTGAAGCCACTTCTCCCATCTCCCAGTCTAATATTCAAACTTCTCTATCTTACTGATTCTCCAATTCCTCTACCATCCCTCTCCTATGCTTCACTTAGCATTTACCTGTGACTTCTGCACATGCCCATTGCTCATGTAGGGGAGTTTTTCAAGATTCTGGTTGTACTTCTGTATCCCTTGGAATCATCCCCAAAACCTACTGATATGTGTGGCTGCTGACATTATGGCTATATATGCACCAGCATTCACTTTGTGAACATCAGAAAACAAGAGAATAGTTTTGCAAAAGCCACAGAACAAAAGCACATTGAGAATGAAATTCCCATCTAAATATGCCTTCTGAAGGGACCTAATCCCCTTGAAATGGTGGCTTCCTCAGGACAGGCAGGCTAACAGCATGCATCCCAAGAGAGCCTCAGGAAGAGAGTGGGCTGGAATGGCAGCCTTGTAAGAGCTCACTCTACCATGTTCCACATTGCTCCAGCTGATGAGAGCAAAGGTGCCCAGGAGCTGAGTACCTTTGTGCTCATCTGCAAAAGTAGTCAGGGCATGCTGGGAAGAGTCTGTCAGCTCAAGTACACAAAGGTCAGCACGCCAATTCCAAGAATGAAAGAGGGGTTGGGGGAGCACATGGGAGGGTTTCTGGGTGAGGAAACAGGGAAGTAAGGAATGGGCCACCCCAGAGGAGCTGTCTTTCTGCTTGGGCTGTGGTTGGAGAAGGAGCTGCCTACAATCTCTGCAGATCACAGGCCAACAAAGCATTCTTGAGTCAACACTGAGATCTCATATAGGATTACTCCCACATTTAATGGTTAATATATTAATTCTGTATATTAAATAAATATAATGTAAACTCTTTATGATATGTGCAAACATAGTTCATTGCGCGGCCCCTGGGTTCCATGTTGAAGTACTCATGTGGCTCTCGAGGTATGAAAAGTTGGACCACCTTGGTCTAGGGGAAGGTAGTCAGAGCAGCCCCTGGATACCTTTTAGCCTGGTTGTTTCCCTCCCTACCTCCTGAAATGCCCCATTTAACCACTCTCGGTGTCTGATTTCCTGGCCTTGGAGAGGAACCAGTGCAGTTTTTTCTATGCTGGCTGTGAAGGAGACAGAAAGACAGATGGAGCATCAATTTCTGGCTTCAAGGCTGCATTGCTGTCTCCAACCTTAAAGCTGGGACTCCAAACTATCCTACAGCCCATGAGATAGCTACAGGACATATAACTTTATGTACATTTTATGATACGGTTTGATGATTATGCTAAACTCTGCTGGGCTACTACCATTTGTATTAAAAAAAATCAAATCTTATGATAAATTTACAAAATGATCAAGCTGAAAAATGTTCTGGTTAGCACAAATATAAAATAACCTTTTCAAAATATCTTGGTTAGCAAAACAAGAGAAAGGACTATTAGAAAATCCCAGCTGTTGGAAATCAGATTCACAGTGATTCAAGCAAGCACATCAGCTGAGAAAGTGCTCACAGATTTATTTGTTTGTTTGTTACATCAATACCTCTTTCTGGCAAATCTTTGCCAGATTTCTTTTAAATATGATAGTTTTCATTCACCGCCTATCATCAGTCAACTTATATATGGAATGCAAGAAAGTATGGTTAGAGGTCTTTGGGTATTCCATTTAGAATTCACTTAACACTGTAGTTATTACAATTATTACTCCCCAATGTTCAATTAAAAAAGCTACAGCTGAGTGATACCAGTACAATGGTGATCTGAAAAGTGATAATAGTAGCCTTCCATTCAAGTATATTTTAGAATAGATATTTACAACTGATTAATACAAATGGTTCAAACTAAACACATTAATGTTTGCTCCAATGGGGAAAAAGCAAATTAAGCAAAATCTTTATATTTTTAACTTTCTAGTTTGCTAATTTGCAAATGTCATGTTGATTTGGGTCCACAAAAAGAGAAAACATAGCTCAGTATATTAAGTCACAATCGTATGTAGGTTCATGAAGCAAAAAGGCCTACAACTCACATTAGAACTAACTGGAACATGCTGGAAGTTTGTTGGCCTATTTTATGTCTGAATTTGCATAAAATGCCACCTTTACATTAGTACCAATTCCCTAATCAGTAAAATTTGCTTAGCTGTTGTATATTTAGATGTTTCTCTAAGAAGATAACTAAAACAGGCATTTGAATTAATTCAGGTTTAAAGAGGAATGTATGACAACACATCTGTCTCCAAAAGTAAGGTGTTTGTTTCAGTGATCCCAAGATGATAACAAGAAATAAACTTGTACTTCCTTTATTCTACACTACCACACTGTACTACTCTTAAGAATTCTGCTAAGTCAACACAGGTGTGTACCATATGAGCATCCTCAGTGAGGAATGGTGCAATGATGGTACTATGGCCACACTATATTCATTCCCGGTTCCACTCAGGAATCTGTTATATATTTATATTGTTAAAAGAAAGACAAGACTTTCAGAAATACTAAAGTAGCTGACTATCCCTAGTATACTTTAAAAAGCATCTGTTTAGCATAAGACACTGAGAAAACACAGAGATGGCGCTGTAAGGTATGCCCACAGACAACAATTATGTAGACAACGATTGGAGAACTAACAGCATCCATGGTTTTTTTTAAATAAAAAGTGTATCAGTTGGGTGTTGATTTTCATGCCCCCTGCAGCATATACAGTTCTATACTGCAAAAGATACAGGCTACATACCCTGATATAGCCACTAAAAAGAAGAAAGTGGGAAATAGATCTCATGCCTATATCTTTGATGCGATTTTATTTTCATTTATTGAGAAACATTAATAAAAGCAGCGGTGTGTTCATAATTAGAGGAGTTTCACATAACATTTCTCAGAAAAGAAATTAAATACATGTGTCCTACTGATTCACTTATATTGCATTCAAGCCACTATGCTGTATCCACAAAGGTATGCACAATTAAGCACCCACATTGATTTTGCTGGAAATATCAGGGTGCAGGAACTGATACCATTCTTTTATCAGAGATTTCCTGTGAAATCCACTTGGATTTTCCATTCCAGCACATGTTTTCCACATGTTTCCACATTCCCGTTAAAGAAAAATAATATGTTGGAACCAGCTCTTTACCACCAGGTCCCAGAAAAATATCTAGACAACTCCACTGACATATTTGAAATAAAACATCTGGGACCTTATTGATACTTCTATAGTGTATGTGTGTGTTTTAACCTCAAGCATTGGCAATGGCACGCCAAGAAGAAAGAAAGGTAATCTCCCTATGTTAATGCATGGAGGAATATACCATGATCTGTTTTTCTGACATTTTGACCATTATCTGGTCTTCCTGATAACTATTAAAAGCTGAAATAGGTTTCAATGATCTAGTCCTTAAGTGCTTCAACTGAAGTCACCAAAGATGTTTTTGATGTTGTACATCAATAGTATAAATTAGAAATACCAGCACATTTTATTTCATCTAAAATATAGGTACAGTGAAATATTTGTAAAGCCTTTAAAGTCTTTTTAATTTTTCAGGATAGCTGAAACTTGTGCTTCATTTTTTAAAATGTGCATGCTATAAGAGGTATCATGATCTCAGCTAGAGTTACTGTTGCATCAGCATTTCCATTTTAAGTTGTACTTTGAGGGGAGGGATTTATAACATCACTATTAAAAGTCAATCTAGATTGAAACTTGGCAATGACTTTTTCAGTTCTCAAAAGCACATTTTTGAAAACAGTTTTTTGAAAGGCTACTACTAACTTTTATGATTTAAATATGGCCCTTGAGGAACACATACACTTGCAATGATTGCATATGAGAAATGATGATCAGAATAAAATAATGTAGTTACATTTAAGACTTTTTCCCACAACTTGAAAGCTATATTTGTGTAAGCTAAGCCAAAAGAAGGGAAAAAGTCTTAAGGATGACAAAGAGAAAATATAGAAAGGATGACAGAGAGATTGTAATCTTGCTTGCCAACTGGACACAATTTAGACCTTGCAATGTTCAGACATAGCCAGGTCTTCACACATTTGCAAAAGTAAGTGCCTATTAGCAAATTTGCCTTGTCTAATCACAGAAGTATTGTATTTATAACATAATTATGCAGAAGATTTTGGGTAACTTTCTCAATCATATTTTAAAGTGCTACACAATATCTTGTCCTATCTTGTTTTAATTTGCTTGAAGAGTCCTTGGACTAGTTAATAGCTAAATATAAGCTGAATGAATATCTAAAATTTCTAGTGTATACCTTCATGGGGTTCTGATATGGCATACTGTTTCTGCCATTGCTTCTTAGGTCATCCTTTTATTAACATTTTCCCATGAAATCCACTTGGACTTTTCAGCCTTGCTTTCCACATGTTAATCATTCCCATGGGGTGGGGAATGAGGAATCTTGGCACAAGCTACTACAACATTCCCTGATACCAAAATCTAGAAGGTAAATTATGCATCTATGAAATAAGACATCTAGGGACTATAGTGACACCTATTCTGTTTTTGAAAATTTGAACCTTAAGCTTTGAAAATGGCATTCCAAAAAACAAGGAAAAGTAATTTCTCCTCATTAACTTGCATTGGGCATTACACCATGATCTATTTTTCTGATATTATGACCATTAGCTAGTCTTTCTAAATAGTTTGCCATCCTAGAATCCCAGGAAAACATCCCAGGGACCACTGGATTCTGTGACATTGCCACACTAAGGCTGTAGGCACTGATATGACATCAGAAAGCCAACTCTGGAACTTAAGTCTGAATCTTGCTGGTATTGCCTTTGCAGAAAGGACAAAGAACTTTGCACTGGCTGCTTCTTGGTGTTATAAAATTAGCCTCTTAATGGTCTAAAAGGTGGCATGCTGATAAGCAGGGAGAGGAGGAAAGGGGAGAAAGGCAGGATATAAAAAGTCCCATGACCTCTGCAGCTCAGAGGCCTGTCTAGAGAAAAAAATACCACATGGAGAACAATGAGGTAAAAATTCCTACCCTGCTAGCAGTAGCTTGACAATGCAATAGATATACAAAAGGGTCTTCTACCTCATGAAGGTTTAACCCATAATATCTCATCCTCAGTCACTTAAACTACTTCATTTAACCACTCCTTAAATGTTTCATCTGAAGGCACCAAATAATTGTTCTATGTTTTATATCAAGAGTTTAGTTAGAAATGGGTTTGATTTCTGGTTTTGGATACAAGGCTTCTGAGGTCAACCTTGTTGACTTGTTCTTTTCTTTGCACAGTTCCTTATTTATCTTGCTAGACTGACTCAGGATCCTGCATATGCAGTAAGCAGTTCCAGTTCACCTCAGTGTGAAGCATTTGCACATGCATCTACTGAGCCCTTATAAAGACAATGCAAACATACATATAAATTTGGGAACCAAACATTTTAGAAGTGGTGCTTTGTGTTAATGTAAGGGTTGTTACCCTCTAGATAGTTTGCCCTACAATTCCCACAGTCCCTCTACATTGGTTATTCTAGCTAGGGTAGATGGGAGTTGTAAGCCAACATAACTGCAGAGCCATAAATTGGTAATTCTCGGTTTAATGCAAAGAAGAGCCATTTATTCTGAGTCTGCCATGGCTTCTTCTACATAATTTAGATGCAATAAAAATTATCATCTATTTTTCATGCTGTTGGCTTCTTCAGACAACATGCTTTGCACAATGAATATGAGAGGATTTTATCCCTGGCTCTCAAACTTTTGCACAGCCATCCTCTCTCTTCAGAACAGTGCCTATTCACGTAGAATCTGTGTGTACATATTTGCAAGACAGAGATTGCACAGGCAGAGCTCTGTTCACCAGACATAAACCCAACTCCCTCCGCTGTGTTCACTGAACACAGTATGTCATCTACACAGGGCTACTGTGACCTCTAATTGAAAAAAGCATCAAAGTCAATTGTAGAAGTTTAATCAAAATGGAACACTAAAAATGGAAGATGTCAAAGTAACATTTCTAAGTAGATTTGAGCTGGAAGCCCTCTTTTGCATATCAACAAATCAGTGGAAATTTGTCATTTCAGAAATTGCAGCTGTTTTCATTTACAGAAGCACAAAAACTGGTTTGGAGCCAATATGAGAAAAATCTTTTTGTCCTCTGCTGGCTTAAAAATGTCTAAACTGGTTCTGTTCAAACTTTGTAAAAGTACAAAAGGGATAATAACTCTGTTGTTCTTAGACTGGAAATGTGAATGCCAGTTTTCAGCCTGGAGTTATATTTTATGGCCATATAATAAGCTATTATGGAAATACAGATACAGCTGTATTTGTACGGTGATTACAGTACAACAATGCTACAATCAATTTGAAATGTACTGTTCAAATCCCTAGCTCATGAAAAACAAATTTCAAATGGAATGTAAACACAAACTTGAAAGTACAAATACAAAAATGGTCCACATATATGGAACGTTATTGCCATAATGCTTTTTTGTAAGGGCTATGAGGCATTCTTTTCAAGTAGTTGCTTACCTACTGGCCATATTCCATTCAAGTGCTGGATTCTGAGAATTCCTTTCATTCTCTGGCACTGCCCTGCTTTTACCATTCTCCTTCTCTGGCTTCAACTGATCCCACTGAGCAGTACCAATGTTGATGGCTTGAAGGTCTATCTGATATTGTCTGTCTTCAACCTCTGATCCGGGATCTCGAAGAATTCCCAGGTTCAGGGCTCTCCTATGATGGAAGATACAAATAGACATGTTAAGAAAATGTTTTACTTGTGCCATAATGTGGGGAGATCATCCAAGCACATTACTGAGCAATGCGTTAAATTAGCTGTGTCTGAGACTGGAGAATAGGAAAAAAGAAAAAAAAACCTACTCTTGGCTTCTGCCATCAGGCAGGTGAATTAGGACTAGTGGAGAAGTTCATCTTCTACCTCCTCAGAACAGTATCAAGACAAGGGGAAAGCTAACTTGGTCCAACCACAGGTTAGAGAAGCAGCTGCAACAAGCTCCTTTTTCCTCTTTCGAGGGGGTGGGGAGACCCTCAACCCCAGTTTATTGTCCTGGAACTGCTAAAGCGAAGGGAAAAAACTCTCTAGCCCTACTCACCAGCCAAAGGAAAAAGAACCAGGAATTGTTATTTGAGGCAAGTATGCTAACAAGTCTGGCCCGAATTGGATATAAATGGCCCCTTATAGTTCACTACTTTCTCCTGGTCTTACAATAAATGATTTATTTATTTAATAATATAATTTATAAAATAAAAAAATATTTAAATAAAATAATATATTTATTGTAAGTCATCCTGAGACATTCTGTAGGGGACAGGATAGAAAAGCTTTTACTAAAATAAATAACATTCCTCCTTGGCCATTTCCCTCTACTCCTTTTCCCTTGTGTATCTTATCTTCTTCATTTGTAACTCTGATGTCAGAACCCCCCTCTCTCAAATGATTGATTAATGTAGGCTACTTAAGGAAACAATAATTTCAAAATAGGGTAGTGGGCCTGCTAACAGGGACTGGGGGGCAAGAACTCATCTCCCCAGTCGTTTACCATCTACATGGGTTACCAGCTGAAACCTGAGCCTTAAATGGTAAGGTGTTAACATTTAAGGCCCTAAACGGTTTGGAACCAGAATATCTGAACGACCACCTACTTCCATATATGCCTGCCTATGCTCCTAAGATCACCACTGGAGGTCCTTTTCTGAGAACCCCTTCTAAAAGAGGTAAGGAAGGTAGCCAGAAGAAAAAGGGCCATTTCAGTTGTGGCACCCCATTTATGGAACCAGTTCTTCAAAGAGGTGCACTGGTGCTGACTCCCTATTCTTTCCGGTACCAGACAAGCCCCTTTTAATTTTCCTACTATTTTAGTAGTTACATTTTATATTGTGTATTATGTTTTATATGATATTTATGTTGTTGTTATGAACGTTGTGTGGGTTTGTTCGTGTTATATTTTGCATTTAAATATTGTGTTTAATTTTTGTGTAAGTTTTAATTCTATTTTATTTTTTTACTGTTAACTGTTTCAGAGAGCTATTTGGCAATAAACAGTATTAAAATATTCTAAATAAATAAATAGTCTGTAAAGTAGGATAATAATAAGAGTAAATAAATAATCTTCAAAACAGCCAGAGGTACAGTTCTGGCAGGTTTTCCCAAAGAAAGTTCAAAGGAATGAGGACCTCTACCCAGAAGGTAATGCTGCTACTAGATAACACAACTGCCTCATTCAGTGATGCAACCCACAAAAGTCTGTATATTAAATCATCAATTTGGTTGGGAAATAGTTCACATGAAACATAGAAACAGAGTGAGTCAGAAGGGGGCCTCCTAGGCCATCTAGTCTGGGATACTGAAGAGAACAATATGGTAATTGTAATATGGTAATTGTGCTTTTAAATACAACAGAATTTCTAAGTCCTTAAAAGTCAAAACCAGTGTATTTGATTTTAGAGCTGTTGTGGAGCTAATATGCCCCCTGATTATGGCCCTAAGCATCAGACTGCTGTACTGAACCTGGTGGTGTTTTTGGACAGCCTTCAGGGGTAGCCTCATATACAACACATTATTGCAATAAAGTTGAAGAATTACCAAGGCACACAATGCCATAGTTAAATTGCACAAAGTGATGCAACGACAGGCACACCAGCTGACACAGCCTAGCCTAAAACTGCCTGTTTTGACTCACAGCAGCTACTCAGGGTTTCATGTCATTCTCAGTTTTGCTCCCTTTGATGCTTGGATTGAATCTGTGACACTATGTGTGGTTTACCATTGATTTATAAGCCCACACCATTAAATTGCAATATATGAACAAAACATTAATATCATCTATATTACATAGGATTCAAAAACGTGGTGGTAGTTGCTTGCCACAAGCCAATCAACAGTTTTAATATACGGTCTTGCCTGGTATTTTCATTATCCTGTCTTTTTTCTCCTCAGGGTACAATGGTTCTTAAGTGGCCCTTTGCCGCCAACCTGTGGGAGGGAGTGGCAGGCTCATCTGGAATCACTCAGAATTAGAGGGAGGAAAGCTCACCAAGCTGTTCCATCAATTCTACCATACTAATGACACATTATTCTGTACCCTAAAAAGGGAGTGCAGAACCTATGTCAGACCAAAGGTCACATTTTAGTTTGAAAAAAATCTCAGTAGTGAGATCTTTCAGCATTTCAGTAATGAGTGGCTCTGAAGCCAAAAGGGGCAGGTCCAAAAAATCAAGAATACTAGCATATTGTAGCTTAAATTCCTTACTGCCACCAACTAAGTCTGAGGAGAGATATTGCAACATTTAGAAGAGAGTGGGGGGAAAACTACATAAAAGTTGGGGAACTACAAGTTGGTAGTTGGTGAAAATGGATGTGCCCTTCTAGGGAACCCAAGAGTGACTCCAGGCCTTAGGTTCTGACCAACTGTCCTAAGGAAAAATCTCCTAGTGGCTTTTAGGGTAGCTTTTGGATGTAGCCAAAATTTATTAGTAGCTTTAAGCTATAGACTTCAAATAGCATCAAGTGGAGGAAAAAACACCCTGCCCAACGATGCAAACCTGGCACTTAATTTACAACCTTTCCACCAGCAGGTTAAGATATTTTTTTTAACCCCAGCATTAAAATTCCTACAACTCTTGGTCTTAAAACTTCTATTTTTCTATAGTCGTTGTTGTTGTTACATTTTTATTCTATTATATCACACCACGTAAGACTTCTACTCCCTGAAATCTCTTGTGAGGAAAGATAATGCCACATAAACCTTGTGAGAATCCACAACACAGAAGTCAATCAAGTTAAGGAATAGCTCTCAGTCTAAAACCTACCTGTAAGACAGACTTTAGTGCAAAGTGCCCCAACAACCACTACACTTGATGCTATCAAAAGCTCCTGCAAGCTGAGAGGAAGTCAACACGGTCAAATTTCTATCTCTCAGGGACAGCCAAAACAGTCTCAGCCCCAAAGCCTGGATGGAAATCAAACTGAAATGGATCTAGAATATATGTTCCACCCAGGACAACCTAGAATAGCTGCAAGGAGCAGTCGGAAACTGCACTGCAGTTATTCCAAATAGACTTTTAAAAACTCAGAGACAGTATGAGTGTTTACTTTAAAGACATAAGACAGCTCTGGTGAATCAGATCTGACGCCTGTGAGGTACCAAGCTCCTGTTTCTAACAGTGGCCTGCAAGATGGCCATGGGAAACTCCAAACAGGATACAAATGTAACAGCTCTCCCCTGTTGTTTCATCTTCATCAGTATGCAAGCACCAGTTATCTCTCATTGAAGCCTAATTCCCTTCCTTTAGGGAAGTGTTCACTACCTTCTGCATCAGACCTAGAACAAACTCCTGCTACTAACCGAGATAGATGCACATAATTTTAGCAGTAAAATCCTTCTGCATAACTGTTACAGATCAAGTCCACCAATCTCAGTTGGGGGAGGCTCCAAGTGCTTACAGACAGTTCTGAATAAATCAGTTGAATGCAAGTATGCAGGTCCAATATGAAAGAAAACTAAACATATTTTGCCATCATTATCACAAAAAAGGCATCAAAATTGGCCATCAGATCTCTCACAGGTCAACTAGTCAAAATCCTATTTGCCTATTTCTCTAATTCCGGGGAGTGGGGGGCGGGGGCAGGAATAACAACTCTGGAATGTGTGAGAAGATGCCTAGGTGCTAATGTGTCAACCAGACTAAGCCAATTTCCTGGAGGTCACTAGGGCTTCAACAGAACAGCCAGTCATATGTGCAGAAACATACAGATTGGGAAATTTTTGGTTCCATCAACCTGTGGAAGCGGGCTGTTTGGACAATGCATATAACTTTCAACCCCTGGAAAATTAAAGACAGTGTTTGAAAACAATCCTATCTAAAATTTTGAAGTTCTGCTACTCAGTGTGACAGTTCAGAAAATTCTGAGTTAGGTGAACCAATAGCCTAACTAGGTATACAGTAACTACCTATGGTAAGTCTAACTGCAGATGCTGTGATATCTACATCAGCAAGTAATAATTCATCCAATACAATGGAGCCATTACTGGCATCCATCCACAATTGTTTTCCTTCTGCTGAGTTGTTGTTAGTCGCGAAGTCATGTCCGACCCATCGCAACCCCATGGACAACATTCCTCCAGGCCTTCCTGTCCTCCACCCAAGCTCACACCAACTGCTTCAGTGACTCCATCTAGCCACCTCATCCTCTGCTGAGTAGAGAAAACCAAATTAAGAGTATTAAGAATTAAGATGGTTGGCTACATGTTCCAGGCCAACAATTGCACCATTGCACTTACATACTTGCAAAAGCACTAGGCTTATATTGTCTAAGACATGGATACAGATTTTCAGCCTCATCCTTCTTTCTTCTGCTGACAAACATGTGCTTTAGACTTTAAAACTCAACTGAAGCATGGCCCAAGGCAACTGATCACCCCTTTGAACTATCATCATATTCTGCAGCACTCGAATTTATTCTAGTAACTGAAATCTGGAGAATAAGTTATGCTAAGGATTTCCTGATCTGTAGTATAAAAGCTTATCTAATCATTGTAACATATAAAATTATACTTACCTTATATTGCATCCTATAAGATTTCTACCAACCACTTTGCAGGTGGCATTTGAGAATAGACTGAAAGCCTACCATAGTTGGTAAATAATATAGTAATGTAATGCACCCAAAGAAGACCTTAAGCATGTAACAGGAAACATAACTTTAATGTTTT